GTGAATTAGCATTTTCTCGCACTTAATTTGCATAATCTCTTCTGATCTGTTTTTGGGCAAGGGGTTTTTGCGCAAGATCCTTATGCCTCAAAAAAGGATCCTTATGCCTCAAAAAAGCATAACGATCTTACACAAAAGGATGGGGGGGGAGGGTTGCACAAAAAGGAAATGGTCACACTGCTTGTGTTTGCGCAAAAACCCCTTGCCCAAAAACAGATCAGAAGAGATTATGCAAATAAAACGTGCAAAAATGCTAATCCGAGCTTCATTTGCATTGCCTCTTCCGGCAGACATTGTAGTGTAGACGTAGCCTTAATGTTCACCCACCTCTTTCTATCTCTCTTCTGTGGCTTCTGCTTCCTCCAGAGAGGATCTAGTTAACTTTAAAGTGAAAAAGCCTGCCAGATCTATTAGCAGAACACTGAACTTGTGATAGAGCTATTCAAGTGGTTATGAAGCCATTTAACAGGAATTTGCCAGCCCCAGGTATATACTGTCCAATTCTGAATTTACTGTGTTAGTCTACAAGATCGTCATTTAAAATTTGCTTTAAAAATATTTCTTTAGTGCATTACTGAAGATTCTAAAAAATCATCTCTCCCTCCCCTAACTACCATCAGGCATTGGGGCACCAGTTTAATAGTACTGTGGAAGTAGCGCCCCTTAAATCCTAAGGACAGCCCCGCCTGCAACTCTTACACAAGTATTTGCTACTCTCACAAGCAGCCCCAGTTGACATTACCCACATGGCTAAGGATTATGAGCAATATTTACAAGACAAGCATGGAAACTTTTTTTCCCCTATTGCTTTTAGAATATACAGCAAATTAGAAGAGATTCCTTACTGAATGTAAATCAGAAAGAATGAACTCTGCAAAAGGACAGAAATGGAAAGCCATCAGAGCAGATGATGGATACTTAACATTTTTAATTCCTGCCATTTATATTGAAAAAGTTAGAGATCAACAGAACTATACTTATTGGAAATTAAACAGAATAGCAAAGTAAGAGTGGTCTAACTCATTGCCTTTACAGAATACTTTAACTTTTTTTCTGCATGTTTAAAACATTATGTCACCATATTCCTATTTGAAAACTTAGGTCTTGTATGTAACAACATCAAAATACTTTTTGCCTAGCATCTGAATTTTTCTATTTATTCCCATAACCTAGATTTGTGTGGGATTTTGACGTAAATTTCCATCTGCAGTGGAGATTCCTGAGATATAACTAGTGGATAATAATTAGGTTTTGTGGTGCCAGAGATCATTATGAAAAATTAAATTTTGATG